TGCAAAAAGGCAAAGCTAGGTTGGTTGTTTAGTATAGAAAAGGCCTTAAAAGAAAGTGAAGTGAATACCTACCATCAGTCGAAAATTGAAATAGCTCAATTAGTTGAAGTGGTTCTGTATCTTATTTTCATATTGGCATTTAAATCTCTTGAGTCTACCATTAAAAGCTTATTTGAACTCAGTTTGTTAGCATGACAAATGGTTTTTCATCATCGTCGTGATAAAAAATAATAATAATAAAAAACAAAAACCACAAAATTTCTGCCCAAACACAAAACACTTCCCCAAACATGGTCGATTTTCCTGTCTATTCAACTAAAGAAAAAACTCGACAAAAATCATATCTCTAACTCCATTGACCATCTTTTTAAACTCTTCATGTGACAGATGGGTTTTCTTACCAAGTGCCCCGTTTTTATCGTAGGGCTGAGCCATCCTCCTCAAGAACTGCACATATTTGAAAAGGTTCAAATGTTCATTGTGCGAGTCTCAACAAATATGAATATCAATACAATTCTTAATTAAAATTGGGGGAGAAAGAAAAACAATAATGTTCAATTTTCGAAGGTAAATGTTATTAGATACTTATTAGATACTAATAAATACATCTCTTGCAATATGCATTGTCATGTCAGTACTCAAGTTCAGGTGGGCACCCCGTAAATGTGATAATATCAAACCAGGTAGCTTCTAATGTTTGTCATTGTTTTTTTATACAAACAATCAAACAATTTAAGAAATGACACAATTTATCCTGCTTATATGTCGAGCTGCAGAAGCAATGCGTGTGTGAATCTCTTGAAAACAATTAAATATGAAAAATGAGGATCGACTAACCTTTTGTCAGCAAAAATCATCATTCCACAATTCACCTTTGATCGGATGACTCACTCCACACACTGGGCAACTTGTCTCTGAACAAGCAAAAATATATGTCGGCTACTCAACATATACAAAAATATGAGAATGAGATAATTAATAAAAAAAATAATGGGAAAAAACTATACTTTAGATCACCAGACGCTGAAACATAATAGAAGCTAACCTGCTCAGTGTGTACTGGAAAGGAACACCAAGCATCATTAGAAGTTTTCCATAATATCTGCCAAAGTCGGTACCTTTTGCCACTTATTCCCCTGAAATTGACTTGTGTAGTGGTCATAGAATGCCTGGAATGAGAAACTCCGGTAACATTATCAAATAAAGAGTAACAAATATAAGTTTTTCTGTAATTGATGTTGATTCAAGTTTTCGTTCACATAATCACTTATTGGATCTGCATTATAACAAAATCCCATGTAATGAAAATATAATTTCCAAAATAATTTGGAAAAAATAATTTATCGGGCTACCTAGAAAACAACAGCACCTCTCCTACAATCGCAAGCCTGCGATAGTTTTCCAACGCTAGTGTGGTCTCAATAACATCTTGACTCTTTGTAAAGATAAGTTTATGCTGCACTATCCCCTGCAATACATTTTAATAAGACCCATTCAAAATAAAGTCAATAACTAAATGCACCACAATCTCATCCAGTTCAACATACCATTTCAAGCAAAAGTTTGTCGTATTGTTTATCAACACCAGGTAACTTCTCAGATAATACTTTGTGCTCAAAGGAAGCTGATCACTATCCGGAATATAGCACTCTCAGGCATTAATTGTACTTTCTCCTGAAAGTGAATGAGAAATAACATTATTGAAGCTCAGAAAGAGGGACGTAGTAAACAACTCATATTGTTCAAATTTTCCACTCATATTCTCTCTTATTCTTCATTTTGCACAACACCACCAAATTTGTATATGATAAATCAATCAGTCAAACATGGATGTTTGTATCTAAGAATAAAAAAATAAAGAATTAATAGTTTCAAACTTAAAGCACATACTTTGCAAATAATTTGTGCCAGCAAAGTTGTAAAGATTTTTTATAGCTTTGCACATATTCAGATGGCAAGGCAACTGAGAAATCGAATCGATTATTTTCTCTATCACTGCACGACGATTTACGGTCTAGCTGTGAGAAAAATAATGAGTTTAGCAATCATAACCTTTTCAACATCCATGAATTCATCCTTCATCATACATTCGAAGTCTTGGAACCTCCGAAATAAACCTATAAAATGCATTTACTCAACGTTTGAGTGGTGCCTTCGACATCATAGCAATAGTACAAATTGAAAAGGTTTTGTAGATTCCCACGCTAAGCGGTCAACAAACATCTGGTTTTTCCAATTAAATCAATCAGCCTTACTAACATCTATTAGACATTCTCCCAATAACTCACTTTACATGACGAAACATATTCGATGATTCTCATATCTCATTAGAACCATATTCACAGGTGATCAAACACTTTGCAATAGTTAAAGCATAGTAAATTGGCTATTTGTCCCCAATTACAAAATGAGCCTCAAACCCCACTCTAAACAGATCGCCTTTTTTTTTTAAAAAAAAAAAAAAAGAAAGAAAGAAACTCAAAATAGTGTTAGAATTGGAGTATTGATGAAGGCAGGGAGGGAGAAATCACATGGGTCTATTGGTCTTAGAGACATGTGGGTGGGCCGCGTGTGGCGCAGTGTCGACGTCCATGAGGGCGTACCAGATGGGGTAGCGGAGCAAGCGGCGGATGAGCGACGACGTTAGTGCCAGGCGGCAGATGGCACGACAATGACTTTCACCTGGTGGTCCTAGACCGTGTCTTGACGGTCAAGCAGAGGCCCTCCCAGTACTCGAAGGGTCTGATGTACTCATTGATCTTATTAGGGGAGAGGCCGAGTGGTGAGAACTTGGGTGCGAGAGAGTACGCCGCGCCGACCTCACAGCTGGTGACGACGAACACGTCGACCACTTTAGCTGAATCAAACTTCAGCGGCCTTCTCACAGACGAAGGGTTCTGTGAGGGTAGGGCGGTCATGGAGGAGCGGCGCATTGCGTGGAAAATGAGTACCGAGGGTTTAAGATGAAATGTTTTGATTTAAGAAGAGGGATTGGTCATGTTCATAAAACCTATCGCTTAAGAATTAAGCAAAAGGCAAAACGATGTCGTTTGTCAAAGAGAGGTAAAATAAAGGCTTCAGGATGCACGACGTGGCGTGAAAACAAGGGATATCATTTTTTCTTATAAGAATAAGAGATAAGAAAGATATTGATTCTATTTTTGCAAGAATTTTAAACTAGTAAACATTTAAAAGGGAAAAAAATGGGTTGTATTTATATTGGGCCTCGGCCCACAGAAGCAATTCCAGATGTTTACTCTCTTCGTCAGTTTCCTTCTACACGGCACTGTCATTTAGCCCCGAAAAACCTCCGAACTTCCTCTCTCTAGACTTCATCAGAATCTCCATTCTCTGTGCCCAGGTATTTACTGTACAATTTAGATCTTTCAGGTCCATAGGAATCTCTATTTTTAAGTGTTAATGCTTGTGTTGCGCTACTATGTTGATTTGATTCATGTGAAATGCCGAGCTCGCTTTGGTTTGTACTTTTGTTTTTCTGTTTTTGTTCAATTTGAGGCATTATTTCAGCTGAGATCTTGAGTTTTCGCATTTTTGTTGCCTTTCCCGTCGTCTGATAATGTTATCATGTCGGCCCGATTTTTCCTTACATTATTTTTATCTGGTATATTTTGGGATGTCTTATGGGTTTTCGATACTGCTTTGTCTATTGGTGCTTAGAATAGGAGTTACTGTTTTCTTTAATTCTGATGGGGTAGGAATGTGTTTTGTTGAATCATTTACTTGGGTGGTTTCATTTATATTAGCTGGGTACCGCGAGGTTCTGTGTGCAAAAAATCTATATGCTGTCCGGGTTGTTTTATCGAATTTGAACTAATGAAGATATGTGGGATACTTCTATGCTCGCACATGGATTGTTGATTTTGTTCATCGTAGTTGTATTTAACAAAATTTGGAGGAATTGCTTTGGAGTTGTATGAAAGTCTTGTAGCACCCGCTTGCATTTTGTTTGTGGTTTTAGCACAGAGTACTTGCTACCAGTATGAGTTTGATTTCTTCCTTCTGGTGATCTATTGGACACCAATTTGCAGGTCTCCTAGTTCTTGTTCTGTAGTGTAGGTTTTTTGAAGATCGTCATAAATACTTTACACGGAATAACAGCCATGTAAATTCATTGGCCTGTGCACATTTTCTTCAATTTTCGAGTGATAGTAGTCAAGCTTGTTCAATGTGAGGGCACTACTTATTGGACATTTGAGGAGTCTGCTTCTTGAATAATTAAATTGACTGTCCTACCTATCATCCAGTGTGGCTTTTTACTATGCCAATAGTTGTTGAGTTGTATTGGTTTTCACTTGTCTTAGTGGTCCTATGGACTTATTACATTTTTAAAGTATCACTTGCGAAAACATGGTCTACTTGTATATGCCCCCTAATTTCAAGGACTGCTTTGTATATACCCATCTTTTCCTGTGAATGCCGTAAATAATTTGCTTGAGCGGACGTATTGCTACTATGTTTCTTTAATTTTAAACAACCTGCTAGGATTTACATTTCTAGCCTTGTATCTAGTGCCTTTTCCTTTGAGGTTCTTTGAACTAAATGGAATTTATAAAGGAGGCTTCCAAATGCTGGTAATGTGTAATGATATAGCTGCCGAAGTTTGGACATAATGGCAGGTTAGAACGCAAAAAGTGGAATATGCTTTGTCGTAGTTGTATCAACAACAGCCGAATTTCACTCTACTTCATTCCTTTCAGCATATGAAGTTACTTTTATTGTTTGAGATGATCCATGTATTTGGAGGAAGAATGAATATTGAACTGAATTTTTTATGTGTTCTGGTAGATTGAGAGCTGTTAAAATGTCACATATCCTTAAGAGTACTCATCTGTATTCAAAGCTCGATTGTTTTTCTATTCCAGTATTCGTGCTCTTTGGCACTCTGCAAGTAGCTATTCTCATTTGTATGCCATTCAGCACATCAATTACATGAAGTGCATTCAGACAACTTTTTTTTTTTAGCAGGAAATTGTGTTACCATGGCATCGAGGATTGCTGCTAGATATATCTCGCGCAGGTTCTCTAGCGGTGGCAAAGTCCTTAGTGAGGAGGAGAAGGCTGCAGAAAATGTCTATATCAAGGTAAATTCAGAACTGTGGCTCTAGATATAACAAATTTTGACAATTATACGCATTGTGGTGCTTCCTTAATGGCAGGTTGTTGCATTTTGCTTCGGTCCTCTATCTGGACAGGAACATACTGAAAATTGTGAAAACGATTCTGAAGCTTGATTCTTCCCTTGTCATATTTTTTAGATGAAAGTCTTCACAAAGTGCATTTATGATGATCCTGCAGCTTTCTTTTCTCATACTTTGTGTGGTGGATTTTATACTTTATACTTGATCTGGTTCGTTAACGAGGGACACTGTAGGTAATTATTATTGCTAAATGTATAAACACATAATTCAACTGTGGCGACCTGTCGATTCGGGTCATTTTTAGGGCTGTTACTTACTTTATTTAGTTGTTTGCTTTAAGAACAAGCTCTTGAGACATGTACATCAATGACAATTGCATGCCTCTAATTCAACAAAACTGCTGTATATTTATCTGCCATCTTCTTTTTTTTTTTCCAGAAAAAGGAACAAGAGAAGTTGGAGAAGCTTGCTCGTAAGGTACATACTCTCTAACCCCATCATGTCCGCTTTTGTTACAATTAAAAAAAAAAAAAAAAAAACTGAATTTGTGTGTGTGTAAATTTGTGTGAGTGTGTTTTATGTGTGTTTTTGGTTCTTCATTGCATTGATTAAATACCAAATCCTAAAATCTCTCTGCTCATGCTTTAATGTTTGATTGTATCAAGGGTCCCAAAGCAGATGAAGCACCCGCAACTAGCGCCGGAGGCTCGGGATCTGTAGCTGATGCTAAGCCGAGTGCTGGGCAGTCATCCTCGGCTCCTAATGTGTCAACCGACAAAGACAAGAACTATGCTGTGGCTGCCGGTATTTTTACTATTGCTGCTGCCTTTGGGTGGTATTGGGCTTCAAGGAAGAAACAACCTGAGGAGGTCCAGGATTGAGATCTCACATTAAACCGAGTGTTTTGCTGCCTCTGATTGTTTCCATCTTATTTTGTTAAATGTGACGCCCCTTTCTGTTAAGCTCAGGTTGTTTACCTATTGGTGCTGGAATGCGTTTGTTAACAGAAAATGAAATGACTTTGTTTTGCTCGATTTACTTTGTTCAGAACCCGATGATGCTTGTTTTGATGGCGAGCGACTATATGGTACCTAGAACTTGGAGAGAATGAAGGATACTTGCTATAAGATATTTTAGGGTTCTTTTAGTTTGTTAAATTGCAAATGTCGCTAGAAGAGTCATTGTGACAATTCTCCTGGCATAATGTTAATAATAGACTAGATCAAAATGGTTAAATTAAATTCTAGTGTTTCATCTATTAGTGAAGTCTCTAGAAAATACATATATACCAAACGATGCAATGCACCTTGGGTCGCTACGAAAATAGCTTCCTTGTATAATTACAAGAGTAAGGTCTGCGTACAACTGACCCTCCCTCCAGACTCTAACCTGTTGAGAATATACTGGGTATGTTGTTATTGTTGTATTTAGTTTGTTAAATTCCAGTTTTTCATAATTTTTCATATGTATAATCAACGTTATTATTCTCAATACTTCAAATTATTAGCAACACATATGATAGTACCCTTTCTGGTCAAAATAAAAATACAAATATATTTGGACCATAATTAAAAAAAAAAAATATATTGACCTATTTTTATGGAGGAAAAAGGAAAGCAAAGGCTGAGAGAAGTGTACCGTCAAAACTGAACAGCTGCATAACCACAGAGTATCCTTTAGTTAGCTGCAAACTTAGAGGCAGCCCTTAAAGCAGCCTTCCTAATAAATAGTTCCAATCTTTATACTTCACTTTTTTCATGCCCTTCCCGTGTGCCTCTCCCTCTTCAATAAAACACACACATTTCTACTTTCTTCATCACCAAAATCAAAGCATTTTTCTTGGAGGAGATCAAATTGATCCATGGTAGCCTGTATTGGCCTAGAAAAACACATCAACATTGACATCCCCTTGTGCCAGAAAACAAGTCCCACTCTTGTTGAAATCCTTTCACCATGGCAAAAACAATCAAACCCATCAAGACCCTCGATATAGAAACCTTCTCATCACATCTCGATCATCCCCACGTTTTCTCCGGCTCCTCGTTTTCTTTCCCCTCAACCGACCCAAATGCCATGCGGGACGAATGTGGGATTTCGAGCACTCACGCGGACAAAAGCAAAAGCTTCTACGGAGAGAAGAAGCATTGCATGCATTGCGACAGCTTCTCGTCCGTGAATTCGGATAATCTTTCGACATGCACCGGGGGGCTCGGGATCGAGAGCTTCTTGAAAGACGAAGCCTTCACCAACAATAACGGTAGTCAGAATGGGCAATCGCTAGAGGAGAGAGTTGAAAAGATCGAGAAGCTACGACGTGGGCGACTTCCCGCCTCCGATTTCTTGTATAGGCAAATGCGGGAAGCCGTTTGTGAGCTTTAGGTCATTCAGGCAAGACGGGAGGTTCATTCTTAAGGAGATAAGGATCCCGGAGCTACTGCACGTGCAACGTGAAAACGGGCGGTTGAAGTTAAACTTCATTCAGTCCGATGACGATGATGAAGAAGATCGAGATGATGATGTTGATGATGATGGTGCTATCGATGAAGATGGAAAAGCGGAACATGTTCAGAAGATACAATGAAAAGAAAATGACGGTTGAAGGGCAATTTAAGATTCTAAGTCCCGACCGGTCAGAGGTTCGACAGCCACCACCGAGTTTGATCATTTTGTATTTACTCGAAAAAGTAAAAGAGAAAAATAAAAAGTCTCGAAGGGTATTTCATTATATCTAAGTAGGAAAATTTCCAGATTGTGTCATGTTTTTGCATGGCATACTTTCAGCTATGTTTCTTGCCTGAACTGCAAGTAAGACAGTAATTTGGGTCTTCGGGATTTTCTTCATGAAAAATAGGATAAAAAAAAAAAATTACAGCACATATGGTATTATATCTGAGATGCTTGCTAGTCCTTCCACATTTGTAAGTATTTTCCTAAAGAATTGTGGTCAAAAGAAAAATACTAAGTAGAATAATCCCAAATAAATACACCCCCTAAATTTCGCGAATCGCATTTATTTTGTAATATTAAAAACAATCAGAAAATAAAAATGAGGGAAAAAAAGGAAGGAAAGAAACTAGAAAAACATGGCTATACATCATATTCTCAAAGATATTGTGAAGCAGACATAATTCAAACTGATGCGTGATTGTGAATAGTATCGGGACATAAAATCATTTGCTCAAGGGGCTGAGGCTTGGACATATTGACCTCAATTCAACTAACGTACCATTGCTTTATTCAAATAAGCAACACAAACAGAAAAGTCTAAACTGTCGTTCAAGTTTAGCACCGAGCATATGCAAACAGAACACTGAAAAAATCAACAGGAAATATTGCTGCCATCTAAAGTCAAGAGCACCTTGTATAAATCCGGCCGACGATCGCGAAAAATCCCCCAACTACTTCTCTTAGATTTTATTTTGTCCAAATCAAATTGTGCAATAAGAACGGTTTCTTCTGTATCGTTGGCTTCAGCGATTAATTCACCGGTAGGCCCTATTACAGAGAGTGCATGGTCAAAGTTCCTTCTACCAGACAGTGGAAGTGAATGAAATTGAGTTCTTTAGCTAATTTGCAAAGGCTTACCTGCTATGAATGAATTCCCATAAAAAGTTATCTCGCTTTTGCCATGCTCCGTCTCTATAATCTCCTTACCAATGCGGTTTGAAGCTACTAAAGGCGCCTGAAATGTTTAAAATAAAGTTAAAAAAGTGATAGTCTTAGTAGTAACATCCATAAAGCTATTTTTACCTACAAAATTATTTTAATTGTATTAAAAGCAAACACATATTCCCGAACAGCACGGACTATTAAAAATGATACTCCCTCCATTTCAAAATAAATGTCGTTTTGACTTTTTTGATTCATCTAATTTGCTATGTATCTAGACATTAACTAGATACATAGCAAAATGGATGAATCAAAAAAGGCAAAACGACATTTATTTTGAAATGGAGGTAGTAATAACTAAAGAATCAATAGAACTATGATGATAAAAGGTTTAGCCAATATTTATGATTTGAGTGATAATGCATGCAATGAGATACTTAAAAAAGTTGATGAGATTATTTAGATATTATTATCTCATTATTGATATAGTGGCTTGAAGAATACGAATAACAAAAATGATGTGAAAGAAATAATAAAACTGCCCGGGATCCTCAACCCACCAAATTAGCACCAGCATGGCCCTGCATCACCCGTTTCCAGTGGTCCCGAGAATCTAAGCCATCATCTTGAGGTTCAGAACCAATAGCAGTCGGATAAAACAATATTTCTGCACCTTGAAGTACCATGGCTCGAGCCGCCTCTGGAAACCACTGATCCCAGCATATACCTATAAAGTATATTAACCAGAGAAGGTTTATATACTACAAAAAAGACTAACTTACTATCTATATATATATATATATATAAAAAAAAAAAAAAAAAAAAAAAACTACATAATGACAAGTAACTCGATACGGTGTTACAGGCGCCCTTTGAGGTTTGCTTTCTCCTAACAAACACCTCCTACTGAGGGTGAAATTATACCAAGTAAGAAGTACCGGAAGGGCATATTTGTAGCTTTTAAAGATAGGTAGGTCATATTTGTTATAAGATGAATAGCAAAGGTACTTTTCGTAATAAACTCTACATCTTAAAACCGGAAAGTAAAAACTGATGGATGTAAACCTAGAAGTAAATATATCTTACCTACTCCAATTTTGGCATACTTGGTCTGGAACACCTGTTAACGTCACCAAGTTAATTGATTGAAACAAAAAGGAAAAATGTGCAGTAAAGTAATAAACCGAATGATTAATAACATAGGTTTGGCCTTTTAATTCCCTGGTCCTAACCTTAAAACCAGTGTCGCCTGGATTGAAGTAAAATTTCTCCTGGTAGCCTGAGAAAAACATAATCATTACCTCCAAAAAAAAAACATCAACCTGAAAATATAATCTCATGTCTGTATAATTAAAGTTGCCAAACCTGGCCCATCTGGAATATGTGATTTTCTGTAAAGTCCAAGATCAGTCCCATCAGCATCAATAACAACTATCGAGTTATAATGTGCATTGTTTGCTTCCTCAAAGAAGCTAACTGGTATCACTACTCCCAATTCCTTGGCCAGATTCTGCATCCTGAGATGCAAAACCTTAGTTAGATAGACTGACTGCTTTATGTAAAATTAATATGGGAAACTGTGAAGTTCACAGTTCACGGTCTTCACAGTTCACGGTCTTTACACCAGACCAGAATTATTACCTCAATATAGTGGGGTGTTCATTACGGGGTTTAGCTCGCTGGAAATAGTCTTCCCTTTGTGCTTGGCAAAAGTAATAACCCTCAAATAATTCCTGAGAATGGATAGTAAGAAAAAATAAGCATATACAGTGTAATTCACAAACGAGCCAAAAAAAAAAAAAAAAAAAATCAAAAGGTGCTATCCTTCAATGCTTCACTACAACAAGACAAATGGTTCGGTAGACATGCTTCCTTTTTCATTTTAGTTAATCCGTAACCATGAAGTGCAGTCATGGGGCATCTTTTAGTTAAATTCTGGGTGCGTCATTCAGGTATTTAGAAATAAAAAGTAGAAATAAATCTCAAATCTGGACAATTATGACTTAGTTTGTGAAATTATGCAACAATACATACAGTAATACCTGATCCTAGCCCAGCTGAAATATGATAAATCGCCAAGTAAAAATAGACAGAAGTAACACAAACAATTCCAAGCCACAAAAGCTACACATAACTCGTCAGAATTCCTTAAGAATGATCAAATGCAGTATAAATACAAAACCAACCAGAAAAAACTGACAGCATATAGATGTGTAGACATGGGGATGGGTAAAAGGCAAATGTTTATATCCAATAACAAAGTAACTTTCAAAATATTGAAAATAACCCACCAGGTACGAGAGTTTAGGCATGATTGTATGATGTATGTGGAGAAATTTTACAAATTAAAAATTTATAATTACAAAGATGACAAGCCCGATTGGAAAGGAAAATAGTGACCATCATTATGTTAAGAATTAATTTTTCATCATTTCAAAGGAAGCACGCCTGAATAATAACTGAAAAAATTACAACTACAAAGATGACAAGAGCAACTCGACAGGCACATAGCTGGGCCTTATCAAGAACTAAGTTTTCATCATTTCAAAGAACTCACACCTGAATAAGAATGATATTTGCCCCTTTCTTATGAGCTGCTCGAACCAATCTGCATTCAAAAGTATTTCAAGCTGTATGAAAATTCGCACAATTCTTATATAAATGCAGGGGCGAAACCAGAAAATTAGTTGAGAAGGGGCAAAAGACATGACATATTGGGTTCAGAACCAATACCGAACCGATAACATTTTAGCAACCGATTCTCAGTTACCGTTACACATAAGTCGGTTCGGTTCGGTTTATTTTCTCATCGGTTAGGTTCAGGGCAATAAAAAATTGTAGAATAATAATAATTAATATACAAAATTAATAGTAAAATAAAAGAAGTGTTGAATTGTTAATTGACAATTGTGGACAAGTTGGTCTGGTGAGTAACGTTTAAAACAAAAAATCTAGGAGTGCAAAAATAAATTGAAAGGGGGGCAAATTAAAATTTTAATATTAAGAGTATAAAAAAAATAAAATTTGAGGGGTAAATTCGCCCATGTATAAATGCATGCAATAGAATATTATTTTTTTTTCCTATAGTAGGAAAATTTCTATGTACAAAATTACAAATAGAACATTTTTCATATCCACCTCTTCTCTTATGAATTCAAAATCAATAATACTATCCCCAAGAGGGGGAACCACTTGATAAAGACAAGATGAGATCATACAGAAGAATCTGAAACATAGTCATTTAATTACAAAGAAATTCTATGATGAAAAGATTCTGCACATAGTCTACAACATATCTTTGCTAAATTACTCTATCTTGGATCATCAATAGCCGCTCAAAGGAAAAAAACAATAAAAAAAATAAAAATAAAAAATAAAGGATCATTAAGAAATTCGGTAGGCTCTATGTTAGGCCGATCTAACCATTAACTCGATATACTATTTCAAAAAATATGCTTACCTTCAGTGAAAGGTATCTTATATTAAAAACAACAAAATCAAAAAGTATAATTTGATCGTATAAGTATACATTTTTGTCCATATAGTATAATAGGTCGACCCACCTAAGACTCACACAGGAACTCGCGTTAGAAACTATATTAAGAATGCAACACTAATACAATTAAGAAATAACTCTCTTAATCCATTCAGCACACTTAACCCCTACATACACACATGAAAAGGAAAAATAAAGAGAAAGAAATTGAATTTGTCCTTCTGAACCGCACCATTATCTTACCAAGCAGTTAAAACGTACAGCATAAGCTTACAACTAAGACCTTCAATTACAAAAGAATATGCCCCAAAAGATTAACTTATGACTAAAGATCTTCAGGTTAAGCGGACTAGAATTTTTCTCGCAATAAGCATTTTGAAACAGAAATTGACACCTGAAATAAGAAACCGTTTTTCACCTTTCGGCCGTGTCGATGTTGGTGGAGACGTCGTCAGTGCAAGCGAATTGCAGGGCTGACACGGTGACTGATCTGCTTTTCGCCATTTTTAATTTTTCCTCCCCTTGCCTTTCTCGGTGAAGGGCAAGTCAGAAACAAGTCAAATAATTTCCACGTTTCTCTTATTCAAAACAACTAATCCCGTGTGATGTGGTGCACAGTTTTAAGTTTACAAGCCGCACAAATGATGCTCCAAACTAATGAACTCAAGTGAAAACCGTATTTCAATTTCTAAAAAAAAAAACTCCATTTTTCATTCAAATTTGATGTCACCTGCATCCTGAAGAAAACTATTCGGCTTCAAGCTATATTCTTTGGATGACAAAACAGAACATAAGCATCAATGTCCTATCTTAGGAAAGCTTCATTATTTATCGAACAGAAACAAACTATGGGTGTTCTAACAGTTATGTCGAACTCACAACAACTGTTTCTAATCGAAAAAACATGAAAATAAATAAAAGAATCAACTTTCACTAAACAATGACACCATATCGACTGCATCCTTATACACCACCCCAAATCGGAAACTAAAATTTATAACGAAAACAAAATCACCCAACCCGAGGATCAACATGAAGATTAGAAAAAAGCCCTAATTTGCCAATCTTAGCCGATATTCCGTTTTAACACAATTCAATCCCCAATCAGAGAAAAAAACCCATCAATAATGCAAATAAATGTAAAAAAAAAAAAAAAAAAAA